GAGAAAAGGTGGCCCTTAGAAATTACACAGGGAGAATACATCCAGGAAAAGGATGCCCGTCCTGAGCTGGGGTGTGGCTGGGGGTAACCCTCTTGTCCAGTGGGGCTTAATATGTGGCTGCTTGCAGCCTGCAGTGTGTGTGAGCGCTGAAGAAAGTGCTCTTCTTTACCTGGACATGTGACCATGTGACCTCCTGAAGCCAGCAAAGTATCCAGGGAATGAACTTTGCCCTGCCCCAAGAGTGTGAGAACGTGGCAGCCAGTCCTAGTACTTGGGGAACATGCTCTCTGGGCCTGAACTCACTGTGGAGAAAGTCCCTTGGCCTGGGGTAGAGCCCTCAGCTCTAGTCTCAGCTGGGCTGGCTTGTTCCAATTCCAGACAGAAGCCCCGCCTCTCGCGTGGGCGGAGACCTGCCAAGACCCGCGAAAATAAGAATTCCCAAAAGCATTCTTTGCAAACCTACATTTAAATCCAATCACAGCCTGGCTGAATCGTGGAGAAGTTACTTCACACCCTCGGCCACTCAGCAGGAGCTGGATTTTGTCCTGCTGGGACTGATTTTTGTCTTCTTTTTCCTAAGATCTCTCCACACCCTGCAATGAGAGGCCACAGCAACTACACATAGTTAGTCCTGCTCAACAAATGAGAGTGAACAGAAGCCAGTTGGTCGTTCATCTGAAGAACTGAACACATTAGCTGTACTAATTCAGAGAAAATGGTGTTCACCGTAGTCCATCCTTCAAGGAGGTCATTGTGTGTTTGAAGCTGAAACCGGACTGGAGCTAGGAATACCTGGAACAGCATGACATGGAAGAGGGAAGCTAGAGGAGACAGAACCCATGAAGAAGGTGTTGCAGGGGGGGGTTGCGAGCTGCAATAAACCCATGTACACCTTCGGGGTAAAAGTGCAAGCTAAGTGTGCAAGCTTAAAAACCAACCAACAAAAATCAAAGGAGGTGTTTGCCTCAGGGTGGGGGCAGGGCAGGCTGTACACAGACTCAGCCACCAGAAAGGTCCAAGGAACCCCAGAGGCCAAGCAAGGGTGACCAGGAACTCCAGGGAGGGCTTGGCTGTGCAAGCCATGGAGCTGAACCGCAAAGCCAACTGGAACTGACACGTAACGGGGCGGGGACGCCTGTGTCCCCCCTGCCTAGAAACCAATGACCCTGTCTCAAGAGAAAGCTCCTCTGGTCTTGCTCCTAGTGGCCCAGTGCCTCTAGCCTGTTTTGAAATATTCCCAAGCTGTATTTTGCACGATCCAGCTAGGGGGCTTTGCCAGAGCTAGTGTGAACTCTGTAAGTGTAAGGAATCCACGGTTTTCCCCATTTGAAAACTAAAACAGTGGCCACATCCTAGTCCTTCTGTTTTATCACAATACAGATTTTTACAATGTGCCAATTCACTCTTGAGGGAAGTTGAGTTTTCCCATGGCCTGATTGGCAGAGAAGATAAGAGCCAGTTAGATCTTGACTTTGACTAGACTGAAGATGAGGGTGATAGGAATGAGATTACAATGGGGTGAGCACCCCGGGTCTGGACAGGCAGCACTGGGCACAGCAGGCAAGGAGGACCTCAACCAAGAAGCCCGTGCCATGCACATCAGAGCAGGAAGGCAACCTAAACAACTCCTGTCTGTTGCGGTCCTCTGGCCATTTCTAGTGGGATCCTCTCAGGCAGGGATTTTCTCTCCGAATCTCCAAAACCTTACAATATGTCGAGAGCATAGAAGTATTCATGGAATGAATATGTGAATGAATGGTTTCATTTTTTCAGGTTGTTTAATACTACAGTTAACAGGGCCAAGTATGGTGGCCCACACCTGCATTTCCAGCTACATAGGATGAAGAGAAAAGGAAAACCAAGACCAGCCAGCCAGGCAAAAGGTTCATCTCCACCAATAAGCAGCCCAAACTGGTCCCAGTTATAAGCTCAAGATGATATTTGAAAAACGGCTAAAGCAATGAAGAGCTGGGAGTGTGGCTCAAGAGGTAGAGCACCTGCCTCACCAGGGTAAGCCCTGAGTTCGAACCAGTGCTCATCCTAAAGGAAGTATACATAAGTACATATACATAAGTTGTGTGTGTTTATATATATAATATATGTAACAGTCAATAATGTGTCTGTTCTTGTTCTGATGAAAAAGAGAAGACAGCTCTCTCCCGAGCCTGAGAAGTCATCTGATGTAGCGCTATCTACCACGATCTATTTTTAAAAGTTCTCACAAAGAACCTAGTCTGCTCTTGACCAACTACTCTCTAGGTAATATAATCAATCTTGGATATTTAGGGAGTTGTTGACAAAAACATAAGCCCTAAATTTAGCCTAGAACACCATGTGGGCTGACTCTTATCCTGGACTTCCCTCCAGAGGCCAGGCTCCTTTTAAAAATATCCGAAAACAAATTTTATCAGGGGCAGAAAGATCCCTGTGTTCAGAGCGAGATGTGAGCTTGGGTGGGAGACCTCCTTTGGAACGGTATCCAATTACAATCCACCTGAGCAAAGGAAGATGGCACAATGCCTATCACATAAAGAAATGAAACATCCAGAGGGCTGAGTGCTACAGTTGAAGTGGACGGAGCAGCTACAGCCCCAGACCCGCTGGCTCCCGCTTGCGGCCCCCGCCGCCCTTCGCGCGTCCCCTCCCCGCTTCAACAGCACAGCCGGAGCCCCTGTTTGAAGGCAATCTGGACAGTGGACAGCAGGTCAGCCCCCTCTCCACCAAGCACGCCCCTTCAGCCTTCCTCTGCAGGGCAGCTGTGGGTCTGTCCACTGTGGGGACAGGACAGGCCTTGGCCCGTCATGTGCACACACACACTTAGGCCCACGAAAAGGATCACAACAGGTCTATATAAAACTATGCTGTGACTTCCACCCCTCCTTCCCCGTGAGCCCAACCGAGAAAGACAGGGCTGCCCTCCACTGTAGGAAATGTGAGGAAGGGACATCCAAGGACCAGGTGATTCACAGAGAGCTGACACGGGCCGCCTGCTCAGGGGCAGAGGCTGGGAGACCTAGGGGAGCTGACAAAGGTGTGTGGAGGCGCAGGGAAAGGGAGGTGGGCTAATCAACTGCGTAGGAAGCGCAGCTGTGAGCCAGGACGTCCAGCCTCCTGCCGCAGGAGCTCCATCACTGGACTGCAGACCTGTGGTCTCCTCACTCCTCTGCTGTTTGATTGCAACCCCACACAGAGAGGAGAGATCATGGGCCCCAGGCAGGCAGGCAGCAAATCGGTGGTGGCTGCTACTTATGCCTTCCTGGGCACATGCCTTCCTCCAGCCCCTCTTCCCACCCTCCAGCCCCTGGTCACACAGTCATCCTAACTGACATGGACAGATAAAGAATCTGCTGCAAAACCTCTCCCCTTCCTGGTAGAGGAGAGACAAGACTTGTAAATATATACATCTGTGTATATGTGTGTATATATATTATGTATCATTTATATTATAACAAAAAGTAACTTGGCTCTTACATAATTAGGTGCATCCCTGAACTAACCTGTAGTGAGTAAATGACTGCCGGTTAAGCAGCTTTATCCAAAATGCTCAGGGCCAGAAGTGTTTCAAATTCAAGGGATGGTTGGGTGTGAGGGTGGAGGAATTCTGGAATATCTGAATGAACTTTGCCACTTGAGAATCCCTAATCCAAAAACATCATAAATCTGACACCTTCTGAATCTCAACATTGTATGGAACACAGTGCACAAAAATGTCCAGATTTTGAAGCATTTCTGATTTGCAGATTTAGGATGCTGAAAGCCTTTAACAGAACTGTTATCACTCTTTTTTTTTTAAGTTGTGGTATTTCTCATCTTGAGCAAGGAAACAGGCCTATGGGGCCCATTTCAGCCATGGAATAAATCTGCAGGCCACAAGGGCTCAGAGGGGACCCAGGGGAACTTCTGGCCTACCCTGCGTGGCATTCCCACCTGGGCATCCTGAGCAACCTGGACATTCCCAATCTCGAGTGAGCTTTCTTCCCAGGAGAGGCTCCTGGGACACAGGCAGACTCCACAAAGTCCATGGCCACAGAGGAACAGAACAAGACAAGAAAGCACGAAGACACTGCCCAAAGCAAAATAAGAAAACCACCTAAGCTTTTAGGTAGTCATGGCTTACTCGTAAGAATTTGCTAGGGGAAGTCCAACTTCTAAACCAGAGGTACACCTTCTCCTGCACGTGGCTGAGTGTCAAACACGCTGGCTCTAAGCCGTGTGGTCACTGCCACAGCTACTCGACTCTGCCCACGTAAATGAGAAAGTCGCAGGTGACCACACTATAGTGAGGGACCATGGTAGGATCCCACTAAATTTTATTTACAGACACTGCAGCTCAAATTCCTGATATTTCTTCTTATCACTTTTTCCCCCAATGATTTTCTCTTGGTTCCCCAGCAGTAATAAACAAGGCATGGAAGGCCCCTAAGAGTGAGGGAAGACCCCTTTCCAGCCCAGCCCCGTCAGAACGCGTCACGTGACTAGCACTCCTGACCCCCACAAGAAAGAAAATTCTAGCAGCAGCGCTTCTCTGAGAGTGTTGCCCCAGTGCTGAGCAAATCCCGGTGGATGCCTGTGGAATCTAGGCCCGGTGGCGTGTGGACAGAGGACAGATTCTGGTACAGGCAAACAACAGCTCCAAACACAGCCACTCACTGGCTGAGCAGTGCTGGCCAGGCCTCTGATGTATCATCCTACGTAAATAGCAAGCAGTCCACACCTGGTGCTGGAGTTAGGATCTATACAATCTCAGTGGTGGCTCAGTGCCATCTCGGGGTCACATGACCCTCGTCCTATCAAGTAACCATCCCTCAGAGACCACAGGAGTTATAAATACACCAACATCAGGCCCCAGCTGGAGAACAACTGAGATATGACAATGGAAATAGCCCACACACCACACAACTGCCGGCCCCTCCTGAGGAGCTCACTGTTTTGAAGTAAGCAGCTTTGCAATGGAGAAACAGCCAGAGCTAGTCTCAAAAAAACTTCAGATCTTTCAGAAGATGGACAAAGAGCCTCAAATTAGAGCAGAGTCACTGGGGCTCGAGTACCATGCTGCCGTGGTGGCAGGAGACCTGGACCGTGTTCGGCATCTCATGGAGCAGTTCTTCCGGGATGCCAACATGGTGTTTGAGATCAGTAAGGATGAGATGAAATGGCAGGTGGAATTCCCAGCCGCATCTGGGCTGTCGGGTACCCTCACTCCTAGAGAGCTCAATGACACGTTCATTTCAACGAACTACTAACACTGTGGGAATGGATGGCTCCTACGGGCAGGTTGGGCACAGAGGCACTGACTTTAAGGGACATCAGTAAGGAAAGGACACTTGTTTTGGAGGGGCTTTTTGGGGGGGATCCGGTCGTGGGGCCTGAACTCTGGGCCTAGGCGCTGTCCCTCAGCTCTTCAGCTCAAGGCTAGCGCTCTACCACTTGAGCCACAGCACCACTTCCGGCTTTTTTCTTTTTGCTTATGTGGTGCTGAGGAATTGAACCCAGGGCCTCAGGCATGCAAGGCAAGCGCTCTACCAATGAGCCACCTTCCCAGGAAAGGACACTTGTAAATGAAGGTTGGTCATTGCGTTGGTTGTGTGTGTGTGTGTGTGTGCGCGCGCATGCATGTGTGAGCACATGTGTGTGCGTGCATGCGCATACAGGCACACATGCCAAAACTAAGGCTTGAAACTCAGGGCCTGTGCACTGCCCCTTAGCTTTTTCACTCAAGGCTGGCGCTCTACCACTTGAGCCACAGCTCCACTTCTGGCTTTTTGGTGGTTAGCTGAAGATGAAAGTCTCCTGAATTTTCCTGCCTAGGCTGACTTCGAACCACGGTCTTCTGGTCTCAGCCTGAGTAGCTAGGATTACAGCAGTGAGCCAGCAGTGTCCAGCTGGTCTGCGTGCGTTTTAAGGTGTAGGGTTTGGTGATGATATGGGATGTGACAGGAAAACCACTGGTGAGCAATGTCTACCTGCCGAAGCTAGTCACTCCCCTCTCCTTGGGAAGGAGCCTTGGTTCAGTACCCATCATCCAGCAGCCACACTGGGCAGCCAGGGAGATGGGAGCTGGAGGAGCAGGCTGGGTCTCTGGCTCACAGCTTTGTGAGTCCTTCCATGACTCCCTCAACACTATCACTGCCAGCAGCACCCACAGAGAGGTCAGCAGGCCCTAGACATCCTGCTCATGGAACCCAGGAAGCCTGAGAAAGGGGAAGAAAAGGGGAACGAGTGTCTAGGCTCACCCTGTTCAGACACACCAGCGAGTTTCCCGGAGCTCCAACCCGGAACACACAGGCACATGCCGCTCACCTGGCTGCGGCCGAGCTTCATGGCTAGCAGTCTGCCGTGGGCACCCAGCTTATCACAGTTACCTACATCGCCATCTCTCATAGCATTGCCAGATGGCAGGAACGGGAAAGTCTGCTGCCCCGTTCCCTGACTAGTGAGGCTCTAGGAGCCTCTGATTCTCCCTTGCATTGTGAGGAGTAATAAAGCCAAAACCGGGCCGAAGGGCTGAGTAGTTCCTAAGGTGCAGTGGGGTGGTCAGGGGCTCCAGGAAATGGGGGGCAGTGCCCATCTGGGCTGCACCCCTGCCTGGAGGAGCTTTTCTGGGCCTCCTCTCCTTTCTCCGCCTCACACCAGGAGTGTCAACTGCCCTGGATACACACAGATGTCACGGTTCTAGATGTATACTCATTTTAACCCACGTGGTACAGGTCTAAGTCCAATGCCTGGGTCCCTTGTGCCTTGGACCTCTTTCTACCCCGAGCTCTGCTGTCTCGCTGTCACGCGAGAGGGAGTAGTGGATTGTGTGCAGGCAGAGCCCAGAGAAGCAGCCACACACAGAGTGGCCGGGCCGGGCCGCCCAGATCCCTGCTCCTTCCACTAACTCCACTCCTCCAGCAGGAGCAGCCCCAGCAGCTGAGAACAGGCCCTGCCCCACGGCTCCTACCGCTCGCCCTGGGGAAGACAGAGGGGAGCAGAGCGTCTGAGGTGCCTGGCCAGCTCCTCAGTCACCCCGCCCCCCCCCAAGCTGCAGCATAAGGGCTGTCCCAGCTTCCCGGGTCCTCCTAGAGGTGGGAAGCAGAGGCGGCTGACTCCAGATCTCCAAAGCCAGGCTCCCTGTCACCTCTAGGACCTGAGGAGGATGTGGGCTCTGTGCTGCAGCTGAGCTGGCTGCCCACCCTCGGCAGGGAGACTCAGGAAACCAGGGCAGGCTGGGGTGGGGAATCGGACAGGCCCTAAAAGAGTTAGTAACCAGACTTCCCATTTCAGGGAAATAAATAGCAATAGGAAGCAGAAGTGTAGTTGTTGTTGGCAAAGATGGCATCAGGCCTCTCCCTCTCAATCACTCTGTCGTCACTGGGGAGGCAGCCCAACCGCGTGCAGGTACCCAAGCTCCACCACCACCATCTCCCCACACGCGGGCCCCAGGCCTCTGCTTCCCCCCATCCATGGCTGCTCGCTGCAGGCTGGAGCTTTGGGACAAGGGCAGGCTGGGATTCTGCCCCACACACAGGTAGGTCATTAACGAGTGGTCTTTCAAACTGCCTTCCACTGGTCCTGGCATGGAGGAGGCTCTGCAAGGTCTCCTAGCAGCTCATTACGGCCGCTGGTATCGATCCCTCCATCATTACAGAAGGCCTGCCTGCCCTGTGGGGTCCAGCCCCTTGATGGGGAGTCACTAGGGACTGCCTGTCCTCCCCGGGGCCCTGCCCAGCCAGCAGCCCCCCACAGCCTTTGTGAGCTTTCACAGAAGGGAAATCTGTGACACCTGCTCCATTCATCCTTCAAGAAAGAGCAGCCTTACAACACACACACACACATACACACACACACACACACAGAGATGGGAAAGAAACAAGCCAGAACTGCATTCAATGTGGCCACCACATCAAAGCGGCCTTCTAAGGCCCCGCCACCTCCAAGATGACTGAACTTCTCCAGGTGCTTTCCTTCTGTCGCCATGCCCCTGTGAGTCCCCTTGTTTCCTCTGTCTCCTCTTGATAACAAAAGGAGAGAGGGTTAGATTCCGGAAAATTCCACAGCCCGGCTCTCCTCTCTCCAGCTACTGCTAATTAAGAGTCTGGAAGATGTCACGTCTGCCCTTGGATTCCCCCACTGTCCATCCTGTTTGGTCAACTTTTATCATCTTGAGTCTTCTTTAGTTTCATTTTTCTGTACTAGCCCCGGGGCTTGAACCCAAGGCCTGGGCACTGTTCTCTAGCTTTTTTTTTTCTTTGCTTAAAGCTGGCTCTCTACCACGTCCATACCTCCACTTCAGAAGGAAATAAAGAGTCTCGTGGACTTTCCTGCATGACCTGGCTTCTAACCGTGATCCTCAGATCTCAGCCTCCTGAGCAGCTGGGATGACAGGCGGGAGCCACTGCGGCTCCTGGCGCCATTAACCTGTTTGCCGAAGCTCTCTTGCGCCCCATCTCTCTTGCTCCGTTGCAGCCTTTCTGATCTCTCCTTTCTCTTCTTCCTCCATGGGTCTTCGCCTTCCATCTCTGCATCTCTCTAGTTTAGCACCTAGCAGCCTCTTGGGTCTGTCTGTCTGTATGTCTGTATGTCTCTGTCTGTCCGCCTGCCCACTCTCAGGTCTGTCTTCCCTCATGCTTCCTTGGGAACTTTCAGGGATGGCTTGCACCCCGCCTTCCCCCTCCCTCCTGACCCGGGCCCCTCGCCCCGCACCAGGCCTCTGGACCTCTGGACCTGGAGCGCAGGCGGGAGCTCACCACGCCGCTGTACATCTCGGCGCCCGGCGGCCACGCGGCCTGCG